CCCCGGAATATTCTAGAATTTTAGAAGTTCATATTAGTTGGTCTTTTACTCCACATTCTCAAGAGTTATTGCTTTATTTATAAAGTCATTATCACAGAGGATTGTATCCTCATGAGAATAGAAATTATATGCATTCATCTTCTTAAATGCAGCATAGGAATTGCCTTTGCTCAAAGTTTTTATTGAATAGCAAGTCGTACCAAAGTTAAATTAAAATCTATTTATTGACCCCATCAGCTTAGGGTACAAGTCTAATCGCTTAAAGAGTATATTGTGATAGTTTGTTTTCCTTTTGTATAAGAGCTTTTGAAAAGTCACCTTGATCGATTTCCTCCAAATACATTTGACTTTCCGCATAATAAAAGCAAGCAATGCTAAGAATTTTTACCATTTCAAAAGTGGAAGGAAGTACAGCAATTATTCATAAATTTGCTCACAAAGTGCAATGTAAAACTAAACAAAAATCATATGATTAATCTATATGTACATAGATTGATCCATATGGGATGACATAATGTGAGTGGGATGGGGTCCACTCTACTGTAACATGGGCCCCACCTCAATCATATTATGTCAACCCTTATGTGTATACTTATGTACACACAGCATGTCTCAAAATCATTTACTATTCAAATAGCACAAAAAGGATATACAAAGGAACAAATTCCATACTTTCCATCGCCATTGAGATAAGAAGCATAACCAACATGCAAGACAATGCAACATTTACTCCTGATAAGTAGGACACACCAATAATTCAGGAAAAGAGTGCGTACCCATTAAATATAAAGTGATCGTTTGCTGCAAATAAGTAGAATTCTCTAATTTTTTATACTGTTGAATAAATGAAACTATTGTAATTTGATTGTTTTAGTTGAATCGACCAATAAATTGATAAAATGCAGATTTCATTAAGCCCTTGTTTGGTTTGGATTAAAATCTCATGTCATAGTCAACAATTAATTTCAACCATACATTTCATGGGATCCAAAATTTGTCAACCACACATTTCATCAACTTTTATTAAAATGTACTAAAAATTTAATTTTAATCTCCACGAAACAGGGGGCTAAATGTGTGGTTAAAATTCATTGTTGATTTTGATTTAAATTTTTTAGCTACACCAATGCCCTACTTAGGCAAGTTCGATTGTCAAGGGAAATGCCCAAGATTACAAGCCATAATATAAAAAGTGATTTTACACAACACTTATACAGTTCTAGATTTTATATACGAGAATTCTATGCTGCTTGAAAAGATATCCTTTCTTTCATCTATGAGACCCTTGCTTTTGCTTTGCTCTAGTGATAAAGTTTGCTGCCCCATTGACTCCCATCTCTATCGATTAATCCTAAAGCACCAACAAGCTTTGTACTGCCATACACAGATCACTCCTGTAGTAAATACCGATGCATGAAGGACCTCGCCGAAATTTTTGATAATGGGGACCAGGTAATGGACATGTTACTTGATAAATATCTTAAATGTCTATCTTCTTTAATAATGTTCAGTTTAACGCATTAGAGATAACTTGTGTACTTCAGTCTTGATATTTGGTTCTTCTGCCTTGTATTATAGAGTTTTGATTGGTAAGTTAAGCAAGCTAAAAAAAGACCATCCCCAAAAATGTCAGCATTAGCATCGCATGGTCCATTCAATTAAGGTATATAACAAAGCTGACAATGGAGTATCCATCAAACTACACCCCCACAGTACATAGGGTCTGTATATCTAGGGTAAACTGGACCCCATAACA